AGTTAGATACTCTATAAAAGACCCTCGTTAATCATGCTCTGAGCTCTTAGAGTATTTTTTGTATGTAATTCTTGTAAATTATAACAAATAACACACTCTCTGTATGAAATATCTTAAGTTTTAATCACTAAACAAACAAAAAAAGTCACTATTCATGAGTTTCACGCGTAAGGCTTTCTCGCAGGCACATAACCAGTGTCGGCCCGTAAAGTACTGATGCCTAACGCAAAAAAAAATTTGATGCTCCTTCAAGACTCGAAATTTTTTTGATCTCCCTTCAAAACTTTATAAATTTCTAATATTTTTTTATGTTTAACGCAACCAGCGTCACCGACGTCAACCCATGACCGGCCCTGCACACAACCACCGCATAATGTTTTTGTTCAGGAAAACGAACCTGAATCTCTCGAGTATACATACTTCTTTGGCTTTGGTTTTAGTTTTGGTTTCATTGGTCATTCGTTCCCTCCGATCAAACCATATCACAATTCAATTATGTTGGCTTCGTTTTGTGTTTGCTTTTATTAGTGACTAAATTGTCTGTTAGTTTAGCTATATATATTGTATCACAAACATTTTATATTTATTTTTCCGTTTCATTAATATATATCAGTTGTAGCTTTTAAAAACCAATATAAAAAGCTAAAAGAAAATCATTTCCACAAATCAAAATGGTCTCATTGAAAATTTATATTTTGAATGGTTCTCTTTATCTTACCAACAAAATCAATCAAAGTAATGATCTTGTTTGGTCCTTTAAGATTTATCACAAATTGTAATTACCGCGGGAGAAACAAATAGTAAAACGGAGATAGAGAAAGATGTGGGACCAAGTCACGTAGCTATATGGTAAATGTAGGGTCCATGAAGGACCCACACGTCAACCGTAATGTAGGAAGCAAGCCCACATCGCTAAGATGACCCTCGACCTTAAAAATCTCTATGGAAAACATTAGTCATTTTTTTTTTTTTGGTTAGAAACGATTTGCCCATTTGGTATCTATATAACAATATTGCAAAAGAAGGGACCATGTCCATCGTTGGTCTCTCGTAGAGTTTATATCCAT